AAAACATCGCATTCCTCGAAGGAGCGACCTATCGCATCATCGAACGTGCCAAATGGACTGTGTTCGTGTGATGCTCGGCCGGGCAGTGTTGCCGTTTGAAGGCAAAAATACCTTTTAAAATCCGCAATTCCTCACGAATTAAATCAGCATTTTCGCCGCGAAATCCAACGTGGTGATAGTGTCCGCGCCCGAGGCGCAACGATTTCGCGAACCCGCGTGCGAATGCGAGCGCGTGAGCCAGCTGATGATAAAATTCGCCTTTTTTCCCTTGCGCCTCAATATGAAATCGGCGAATTTTATTTTCGCCGTATGAGCAATCTGACGTTCCGTCGTGTGTTGCGACGGAGGAAGGTCGCACATCCAACCGCATTTAACGGTACCCCGTGGGCTGCTTTTGGCGCAGCGTTTGAAGCCCCTGGGTCACGTCTTCGGCGGTCGAGCGGCTTCAAACACAAAGCCTGCCAGACCGTTGGTTTACACACCTTAAAAAACAATGTCTATGATCGTAATTTTTTTTAGATCTATTTTAGTCCAGGGTGTCCACAAGTCTGGAATTTCCGGAAAGTCCGGAAATAGTGCTGATTTTTTAAGGGCGGTCCGGAAGTACTAAAAAAGTGCGTATATTCCGCAAGAAGGTCCGGAATTGTTTTTTAATTTGTTGTCATTTTTGTCGCAATTTGAGCAAGAAATTCAGATTTTTGAAATTTTTCAGATTTCGTTAGTGGGGTGGGAGTTACTGAAGAAGTACTGAATGTTTACTGTTAAGGAGGCACTGAAAATCTTGGGAGTGTACTGAAAAAGTATTGCTAAAGTACTGATTTTTGGCCAGCCTGTTTTAGTAGACGCCCTGATTTAACTCTAATTCTCAATGAGAAAACAAATTTAGCTGAACTATGAGATCACCTACGACTAAGTACCGAAGAGATCAATAAAGAGCTCACGAAACTGCCTCCTAGAGATCATTACAGCCGTAAGAGTCGCTCTATTGGCGCTCTAAGTGTGGACATTGAAGTCGGAGCGCCTTCAATTTAATCAGTAGGCAACACGGACAGTCATTGTGCACGAATAGTTGCATCAAGGCGTTACATTCAACTTCGTGTCCTGCGGCACGATCTTAGAAGTTCGCGGAAGGAAATGCTTTCATGAACCTTGTGTTGCAGAAGTGGTGCGTGTATAGGCATGTCAAAGAAGACTTTATTTTAACATCGCACGCAAACAGATCTATGAAACATTGACTTGATGTAAACATTTGCCATGATGATGGTATTGGAGGAATTAATTAGTGCATTGATGGATAGGTATCATAATATTGGAACCGGTTTTACAATAATGAACAACTAATTTTGGCTCACATTGATCTGCATTGCGAGACTAATGAGTAATGACACGTATGTTGTTTCTACGATGAACCAGAGATTGTATTTCCCGATTGCAAAATGCAGTCGAATTCATGACCCTTTATTTTGCTATCGATTATTAAACCACCAATTTTGCTTGTCGTCGAAGTGTTATTTGCCTGAACCCGTATTTACAAGAGGAACTTATCTCAACTTTTTTGGGCCCTTTTGATCATTATGTCAGATTGTGTGTATTGTATCACCTTTCAAAATAAATTTATGGAAAATAACTTCAAAAACTTTAGAAATAAGGAAATACTATCAATATTCAAATGCTCTTCACAAAAAGCGTTACCTCACGTTGCTCTACAATGTTGAAAAAAGGATGACTGCCGATTTTTTTTACTCCCATCGAGTCACCAATAGACCGGAACCTCTCCAAGGAGAAACTATTCAAGCATCCCGATTCTCAGATCATCAGACTGTCAGCTTTTCACGAGCATGAACACGGCGAGCCAAAACCAAACCTTGCACCTGACCTAATTAACTCCCACTTGTGGGTGTCGGCGTTGAACTCTTTCTCGAAAATGTGCTCATCATGGGCATGGCGGAAGACCCGACGATGAATCTTCGTCCTCCAACCGGGCCAAGACAAAAGAGACCCTGTCCAAAAATTCGTACTCAACTTGAATATCACGTGAGCCCTGAAGGTAATTAAAATATGTCCAAAACGAAGCTCTTCTAGGATATAGTTACGTTGTTTCGCTAGGTGATCGCGTTCCTCGCACTCGGCGCACAGTGGATCGGGTCAATAAGAGAGGTCGGACGAAATTTGGAAACTTTAAACGCTTATAACTCCGCTTATACGAAACCTTGAGGCTTTAAAAGTGGTTTTTTTGGTTTCCTCGTAAAATTTTCTTCCAGAAACACCCCTTGTAATTTAAAATGTGACGAAATAAACGTACAAATTTGCATTTTATGTCAAAAATTTAATGTCCGACCTCTCTAATCGACGCGATCTACTGTGCGGCGGAACGCTCTTCGATCTTCCTCCTCTTTCTTGGTTGGAACGTTCTGGTCGTGACGAAAAGTGTTAACAAGTTTCGCAAGCATGGGCTCTCCCCTTCCGCAATGCTCGCACGCGCGGGGTCTGTTTGGCGTGGGCAAATGAAGCTCCTTGCTGCCAGGAGAATCGGCTCTTATTTTAAAGTCGCGGCGAGGTCGCGAAATTCCGCCCGCCTGGTCGTGCGGAAAAACCGGCAATGACATCTGTAGTATTAGCCGGATTCGAGTCGCTCGGACGAGGAATAAGTCTAAGTCCGGCACTGCCCTCAAAGAGGATCAAAGACTATCTTTGGTCCACCCCAAACTTTACGTGTTGCCTCTCATGTCCCTCGATTTGTTTTTGATGGAAATGATATGTATCAAGTCAAATATAAGAAAAATCAATGAAAGTTTTGGCAGCACCTTCGCTACGAAACACTGGGAAAAAGAAACACATTGGATCTAGAGTCCAGACTCTTAAAAACATCGATAAGAAAAAGCACTCTTGATTCAATCAGAATCTAGCTTAAATTAAGAACAAAGCCTCTTAGTTTAAGCGGATTTCGTTTTGATTCAAGCAAAAATCCGATTGAATCAAGAGTATTTTTTCTTGTCAATGTTTTCAAGAGTCTGGACTCTAGATCCAATGTCTTTTTTTCCAGTGAAGATGAAGAAAATAAAGAGATCGTCAAAGTTAACTCTTTCGGGTGCAATACATCTCCCCCATTAATGTCAAATTGATGTACTGTATTTTTCTATCCGAGGTATTAAAATTAATCGATCGCATTTTTCTGATTGTAGCAGCTCGAATTTGGAAGTCGTCATTTGCATTTTTTTAAAATTTCGGAATATTTTTTGAAAGGTTAACGTTCACTGACCTCCATGGCTTACGACGCAGTTAGGTCATTTTGGTCCAATGGTTTCATCCTCAAACTATTTCCCAGCTCCTTTCTGACGCATTTTGCACGTAAATCAGCCACTCCTCACGACTAAGTGCAAAGTCGATGCTAATTGTAAGCTCTCCCAGTTCTCTCCCATCCGCGTCGCGTTGGTTCGTAAGTTGCAGATCAACTTTGCCAAATTCAAGGCCGGAGTCGAAAATTTCGCGGGCAGGGCCGCAAAATTCACTGCCAACTCCTCCGGAGCCACCGTCGAGTAATTAAGTGAATGCCCTGACGTTTCGCAATCCTTACCGGCTCGACGTCCGCATAATCCGACGCTGCCGTTTTTGGCGGTAAAATGTCTCTTTTTAAATTGGCTCTGTTGAAAGATGTTGGAAGAATCATTACCGAATTGGCGATTCGTCGTTCTCTTCATGAACGAACGTAATAAAATCTCAATGTTGCCAAATTTGTATTTCTAAATTGCATTTTTACCGGGAGATTCTTGGACCGGCTAAAACCAAAAGGGAAAAACAAATAAAAAATAAAAACCGTATTAAAAAAAGAGAAATCCAAAAATATCTTTGATGAAAATATAAGGATAGAAAATTTTTTTGTCCTGACCTGAGAATTTTACTATTTTTTTTTTTTTTCTGATATCGTGCAAAAATCCGAAAAATTGCAAGCAAAAATTTTCCAGGTGCTTTCTTGAAAAAAATTGAATTGTTTGCGTCAATTTTGGAACCTTGGAATGGAGGTTTTTTTTTAATATTGAGAGTTCCTTCACTGAAAAGAATTGTAAATTGAGAACAAATTTACATGAGATAATTTCTTATAACTAGACGACATTATTTGTTATGGGGCAATTGGATGAAAGGAATGAGTTTTAAGGAAGTAGAAACACCGGAATCGCAAATTAAGCATATTATCAGCATGCCTCCCCCAAATTGGGCGTATTTCCATCAAACGGAACTATGTGCATCAAGACATGAGCCCTGAGACCCATAAGAATATGTGCGTAACAGGGCTCACGTCATAATGCACATAGTTCCGTTTGGAATGGAGTTACGTTCCTCCGTGTGGGAAACGAAGGTTTGATGATTGATGACATTGTATGATCACGTTATCAAACACTGATGACGATTAGTAACTTCAGCGTTGGATTTTCTATCATATTATGGACTGCATCATCGGAAAGAAACCACATCCTTTCTGCCCTTAATTACTTGGTTTGGTCAACTCCTCATTAACGCTGGTCGACCAGTAAAATCTGGTGACTTGGATAATTGAGCGCTCGATCTTGCAAACCTGACATTATTACAAGCGCTATCGAAAGACCGTATTTCCCCGCTAGGTTCTCGTCTCATCGACGAGTTATCAAGTTTTTGGTACTTCTTAGAAAAAATTGACGAATCAAGTCGGCTCATTCGAGAGTCATTCCAAAAAATGCTCGACTCGTTGCCAACTCATTAAGGATGAAGAATCATAAAAAAAATCATTGAAAAAAAAAAGTGGGATGAGAATTGAACATGTCTCCTTAACTGAACGTACAATTTTAGAATTTTTTCTTCTTTTTTTTTGTTTGCAAAATCAATGGAACATCTTGGTCTTTATTGCGTTTTTTATATACTTGCTTTACTATTAGATCCATCATCATGTAGCGCTACTTGTATGAATGTGTACTCATTTCAATTTGTAAAAGCATTAATTCAAGGTATTTTTATTTTTTATATTGCAGATTTGTTTCACGAAGCACGTGTCAATATTTCGTAAGTATTTTTCAAATCATCATTACTTTTAAACGTCGATTGAAAAGTAAAGTCATTTTGATGGTCTAGCTAACGGGTTTTCTTCCACATTTAATTGTTTTCAATCAGAATCAGTGAAACATAATGCTTCTTTTGTGTGAACATCTCCGTACAAAACAACCCTCAAAAACCGACTTTATCAAATTTAACAAAAATTTCAAGGAAAGTTGGGGTGGTTACTTCCCTCGTTAAAAAGAAAATAAAAAAAGTTAACAGTGAGCAGAGATACAGTAAGTCGCCTCTGAAAGCGCATCTGGCCCTCGCAGCCCATTTTCGTTGCGTTTTCTCTTTTCCTCATCTTATCTTGGATCGTAATTTTCATATTTTTTTAGTGAGCATTTTTGGACTTTTCTATGCTAAAAGGAACTATCTAGCACGCAAACTCCATCACGTAGGAAAAAAAAACTTCGTGCATGGTACCCGAAGTTGAGGTCATATGAATTTCTGAAGTTTTCTGATCACGCATCCGAAAACTTGAGGTCCAGCTACCGAAGTTCGGGTCAGACATCGAGGCACTCGGGTATGTACCGGAGTACTTCAGATGTCTGGCCGAACCCTTCGGTATTTACCGAAGCACTTCAGATGTCTGACCCGAACTTCGGCAGCTGGACCTCACGTTTTTAGATACGTGATTCGAAAACTTCAGAGATCCATATGACCTCAACTTCGGGCCCCACGCACGAAGTTTTTTTCTCCGTGATGGGCATGGCTCCTGTAAGCATAAAAATGTCCTTAAATGCACCCTGCCGTGAATTGATGATTTGCGTTTGCGCGAATTGCATCAGATCATGACGATTTTTACAGAATTTCTCTTCTTCCAGATATTACTGCATTTCGCGTTTAATCGGTTTTTACCAATGCTAACTTTCTCCACCCACGGAAGCCGTAAAGGTTAAAAAAAATTGGCCCACGATTACCGGAAGCACGCGTGGGGAGTTCAGCGAAAATGACGAGCGGTGCATCCCATCGGTGGCGCCAAAATGTCGATGCGTCACCGTGTGCCAAATGCCATTTTCATCTCTCATTCAGCATCAGGCGCAAGGTACGCCACTTAGAATAGCAGTTCATGAGTCAGTGCATCGGAAGCTGGGGCTTAGGATTGGGGGGAGGGGGGGGGGNTGGGGGGGGGGGGGGGGGGTGGTACTCATTCATTGCAAAATTATATCTATGGGTGGAGGAAGGGGGGAGGCAGAAGGTGAAGCTTCGTGAAAACGCGTCGTTCAAAAGCCGAGGCTGGGGTAAAGGATCGAGAGAAAAGGAAACGAACACGAATGAGACGTCTTCTTGTAAATGATCCCGTTTGCAGGGGACTAGATGAATGACTATGAGTCATCCGTGTTAATCGATCTAGGAGCAATGCGCGATGTTGCCTTGGTGCAACTTCAAGCGGATCGTGAGGAGGTAATACTCTATTACTGCCCCCCTTCCCACCCGGGGGAGGGGGGGGGTGTTAAAGAGTTTTTGATTACACGCCGTTTGGAGAAACAAAATAAAAGTAAAATGAGCGTGAAAAGTGAGTTCGCCGGTTTTTTCGATACTGCGAATTCTTTTTATTGTCAAAAGCTCTAAATATAAGTATGACTCAGAATCCCTCATTCCTTACATTCTTCNTAAATGATCCCGTTTGCAGGGGACTAGATGAATGACTATGAGTCATCCGTGTTAATCGATCTAGGAGCAATGCGCGATGTTGCCTTGGTGCAACTTCAAGCGGATCGTGAGGAGGTAATACTCTATTACTGCCCCCCTTCCCACCCGGGGGAGGGGGGGGGGTATTAAAGAGTTTTTGATTACACGCCGTTTGGAGAAACAAAATAAAAGTAAAATGAGCGCGAAAAGTGAGTTCGCCGGTTTTTTCGATACTGCGAATTCTTTTTATTGTCAAAAGCTCTAAATATAAGTATGACTCAGAGTAGGTAGAAAATGCGGGAACCTAGGTCCGGCTGAGCCGGACCTAGGTTCCCGCATTTTCTACCTACTACTCAGAATCCCTCATTCCTTACATTCTTCTTACATTTTTAAAAGAATGATTTTTTCGGTATCTTTGTACTGAGAGTTCTTGTATGGGAAAATATGGATATGAGAGGGTGCATTTCTGTTTTCTCAGTCATTTTTTGCTTCATGGGGCTGTCAAGGAAACATAAACATGACAAACGTTACATGCAAATGATTCAAAATGGTAGGACATGAACTTTGCGTATTTACTTAGTTTTCAAACCGGGTTTGTGCGATTACATTAAAGAAAAAACATTTTCAACCTGGACCTCTACTATTCTACTATTGCAAGATTAGCAATAATTGCAGAGAGAGAAGGTACACCGAGAAAAAAACACAAGTTATTCTACCGTTATACAACGGTAGTAATGTCACACGGGATTCCACGGTAGTACATAGAACCATGGATTTTGATTCTTGTAACGATGAGCACGGAGATATGACCGTGTTCACCGTAACATTACTGTGGGCACAGACATACTATTATGAGCATGGTTATGCTACTGTGCTCATCAATAATATTACCAAAATCCTCGGTTCCACTACCGTGGAGTCCCGTGTGACATTATTACCGTGGAAACCGCCGAATAACCGTATTTGTTTTTCTCCTTAATCAAGGGTTGACAACGACCCCCAAGTATCCACTCACTGTGAAAACAAATTGGGTCCTATGAACCGTAAGCACGGTATATCGGCCGTACTATTCGGTTCTCCAAATCAAACTGACAGGAGCGGGATGGTCCGGGGGTGTTGAGGGGCGATTAGCCCCTTTACTTCGGTGAAAAGGCTCCGCTATAGCCCATTTTCGCAGACTTCTGGTGCCCCACTCTGCATTGGTTAAGGCATCTCGTAGGTACCTTAAGTAACCTCTTTTGAACCTTCCCTCCTTTCTTAAATCAAGGTAGCGTGGGTGTACCTTTCCGCATAGCGGTTTGGGGGTGTAGTCTCCGGAACGGTCATATTAACTGAACAGTTCGACCAATATGTAAAACCGTACTTACGGTTCATTTGACCGAACTTTATATCATCAGAAGAGTTGCCGTCTTTCTAGATTCTAAGGGTCGCAATAGGTCACTGTGTCCGCACACACTCAGGTAGGCAGGGTGGCATGAAGCGTAAGGCTGAAATGAAATATTGGAAATTTCAGGGAAATATCTCATGAAATTTGACAAGGCTGTAAAATATTTCATATTTTTCAGGGGCTGGAGTATGCAACCCGCACTCAAACGCCCAAAAATAGAAGAAAATCACAAGTTTTACATTTTGCGAATCATGAAAAGTAACCGGTATTTTTCAATTTATTTCATACATTTCTGAAATTTCATTAAATATTTCACGTGAAACATTAAATATTTCACGTGAAATTTCAAGATTTTATTTTTCATGAAATTTTTCCACCCTGCATGTAGGACGTCTAGCATCCATTCCCGTAGCGCTCGGCAAAGCGGCGATGGATGCGGGCGCGGAATCGAAGCCACGTCACTGGATCGGCGGCGAGATTCCGGCTCCGGGGTCCGCGGTTCGAGTCCGGAATGCATCCATCGGCGCGGCGCGGTGGCCGAGTGAGTCGTTTCGCTCGAAAACTGGTTCGAAGACGCCGACTCGGTCTCTGGGAGCCGCGGATGGCCGGGGCCGACCCCCGCTGCCCGAGGGCCGCCAGCTCCTGACCGCGGTGACTCATCGCGTCAGGGGCTCATGACGGAGCAGTGACGCGCGCCCGCCGAGTCCCTACCCGCCATTCCNGTAAAAAATCCAAAAATTAGCGACACGTATTTGGATTACATTTTCACCGAAAAAAAAAAAATCTCTGTGTATTTACTAAGAAAAGGGTAAAATTACCAAGAATTAAGGGTTCTATTTTGATCCCAGTTTTTTCTTAGTAATATTACCATTTATGGAATTGGTAATTTTACCGAGAAATCTCGGTAAAATCATTGAACTTTCTCGGTAATTTTACTGGACCTTGGTAAAAACGCCAATATTTTTTATCGACTGTGGTAGAATTACCGAGATAAAATGTCAAGGTTAACGGGAATTGATTACCGATAAAAGTGGTATTCTTACCTTAAAAAAACAGTAAAAATACCGGTTTTTGGGTAAGCTTACCAGTCTGCCTTGGTAAAATTACCAATAATTGGTAAAAAAAAGTGAGATGGTAAAGGTACCAACGGACCTTAGTAAAAACGCCTAGAATTTTTTTTCAGTGTTGCAATAAGGAACCACTATCTTTGGCTCTCCCATAAAAGCACATATCTGCATAGGGAAACCGATGGCACGTATGCTGTTTCTGAAATGAGCCAGAAATAGTGGCTCCTTATTGCAAAATGTAATCCATTTAATCAGGGCTACACATAGTTAGGGAATACTAGGAAAACCAGGGAATGTCAGGGAAAAATTGTTAAAGCACCTTCAATTACTTTCTAGAATGGGTTTGACGTTTCAAATAACTAATTTTGCCTGAAAGCTATCCAAATATCAAATCATGTCTTCTTAACCACCTGACACAACTTCAGTTGTCAGGTTTCACTAAAATACGCGAGACAAGTGTCAGGGAGTTTCATTTTCTACATTTTGAAGCAATCCTAATTTAAGAACGGCGTCCATGGACCGAAATTCAGCTCCTTAGGAACACCCAATTTGCCGGTTCAGGTAACTCTAATACAGTCCAGCAATAATTAATTACTGTGAGGATTGTGTGGATGAAGAAGAAGAGCATATCGATGAAAGTCAGCAGTGTCTGTCTCAAGTAATCTTATCGACATCGTTAACCGGTTGTTAATATCATCAGTTTTACTCGCCTATTAATAAAGCAACATGGGTTTCATTTTAATTATCGGTGACTCATGTTTCAATAAGAGGAGACATGTGAGTTATTATTAGCTAACACATCTGAATTGATTACGTTACGTGTTTTTTTAAAATACCTAACTCGTTCATTATCAAAGAATAATAAAAGAGGGAGTAAT